TCCCCACAGAGCCCGTCCCGGCAGCCCGGTCCGCCGCCGTCTCCGTGCCCGTGAAGGGCCCAGCCTTGCCCACGGCTCTTGCACGCAGGGCCCATCCTCGTCCCCGTCCCATCCCCAGCACGACAGACATGGCAGTCCCTGCAGATGCTTTAATTCCAATGTGCCCAGGGGCCAGCGGCCGCACGGAACTCCACTGCATCGGGGTGATGGGGCTGGCCAGGGCTAGCCCGTGTCCTCCGTGAAAACGGCCACCCCCTGTTGTCCTGCTGGGATGTAGGCGAGGGCGTCCACCTCTCCTCCGCCGCGGCTGGCCTTCTGGAAGTGGATCTCCAGGGCGTCCCTCATGGGCTCCTCACCCAGCACGTCTGGGATCCCCGAGAGCAGGACAGTCCTGGGGCAGCGGGAGGGCTGGAGCTGGGCAGAGCAGGGGGTGAGCCAGAGTGGGCCCTGTGCCATGTGGGGCGGTGGGAGGGCACGCAGGGAAGGGGTCCCCTTGGGGCACTTGCTGAGCAGGGTGGAATGCTGTTCTGCTCGGGGCCACCTGCAGGAACTGCGCCTTGGGCTGCACGGCAGCATGGCACCAGGGTTCGTGCCCTTACCTGCAGGTTAGTGATGTCTCCACTCATGCACGGTGATATTTTGAGCTTGTGTTTTCCTTTCCCAACAGATACCTGGATGTGTCCTCTCGCAATTAGCAGCTCTGCCACTGCAGATGGAGAGGAAAGCCCTGAGCCGCCCAGGCCCCTGCTGAGCTCCAGTGGAGGTTACGTCCCTGGCACAGACACCAAGGCTGGCACTGCCCAGCCCCAGCTCACCTGCACCAGCACAGTCTCAGGGGAGACAGGACAGCCTGGGCTCACTCTGCCTTCCCTGTTCCCCACAGACACAGCTCCATCTGCTCTTGGGAGATGGCCTGTGCCCCCCCAGAGGCAGCTGGGCTGCTCCCCCCTTGCTGGCAGCCCGAGCTCAGCACACCCCACACACCTCCGTCCTGCGCGAAGGTCAGCACCACCTGGCCAGAGCTGTCCAGGAACTCCCTGCTCTCCACCTCGCCGCCCCCATTCTTTGTCTTGCTGAAGAAGAGCTCCAGCTTGTCCAGCAGTGCCTCCTCGGGGATGCCCAGGCTGGGCAGGTCAGACACGAGGATAGTCCTGCTGTTTCGAGTCAGCCTCATCTGTGGGTGGCACAGGCTGGTCAGTGCCAGGGCAGGGCAGGGCTAGCCCCAGAGCTCAGGGGAGCAGTACAGAGCTGCGGCGCTAATGCACTGAGCTGGGCTGGTACCGGTGACCTGGCAGAGGCAAGCTCGGGGAGTGGCAGAGCAGGGCACAGCAAAGCTGGCGCGTGCCCAGGGCAGCTCTGTGGTTCTCTGCGGTGCGGGGAGCAGCGGGCCCTCAGGACCTACCTCCAGGGCAGATGGCAGCAGTATGTCCACCGGTGCTGCCTGCACTCGCACTCTGCACCGATCAAGCTCCTCCAGCTCCTCCCCGTAGCTCAGCTCCACCACGTGCTCCTTCACCTCTATGATCCTCTGGGCCACTGCAAGCAGGAGGAGCCCCCAGCACAGGGGATCGACCGCCTGCTCCGAGTGCGCCGCCGGACAGGACACGGGGCAGCTAACGCTTTGGGGAGGGGGCATAACCCCGCACAATGCCAGCAGAGGGGGCAGAGCTCTGAGCCCTGGCCCAGGGAGGGGATGCAGGGCAGGCCCCAAAGCTGATCGACCAGGGCATCTGGCTGTGGCAATGCTCTTCTCGCTCTTACCCTCTGCCTTCTCAAAGGTGATGAGAGCTGAGCCCCCCAGCAGAGGGTAGCGGATCAGTGGGGTGAGCATCAGCTTGTTTGCGTCCTCCTTGTTTGTCACAAGTCCCTTAAACACCATTTTCTTCTCTGGCAAGGCAGGCAGCATCTAGGTTCAAGTACACAGACAGCACCTGGAAGAGACTGGACCCCACACAGGGCCTGTCCCTGCCAATCCACAGACTAGAAACAAGCTCATGGCTCAAAATAAACAGCTGGAGAGCCTCAGCAGAGTCTCTCCTAGGGTCCGGCTGTGCCTGGAGTCCCAAAGCCATGACTGGAGCTTCTGGCCCTGGCAGAGGAGACACCCGCTAGCAGGAGCCACGCCAGTCATCACACAGGGCCCAGATGCATTCACCTGCAGCCTCTCCAGCCAGGCTCGCGCCCCTTGCCAGCAGACCCGAGTGCCCACACACGCTCTGTTACCATCACCGGATCCTCCCAGCAGACCCTCTTCCTCACTTCTTTCAGCTTCTTTTTCAGCACCTCCTTCTGCTGCATCAGTCTGTCCTTCTCCTCCTTTGCTAAAAAAATATCTGTCTGGAAGGAAAGAAAGAGGGGACAGTAAGGGAACCACCAGGATGTGAGGGGCTGCAGCATGCTCTCCGTTTTAAGCACAGCACTGTTCTTGGACACAGCTCCACCCACACCATTTTTTTGCTCCTGACTGCCTGCAGCCCTGCCCTGGCTCCTTGCGTTTGATTACAGCCCTTCCTCCACTGCTGTGGCATTAGCTCACTTCTCGGCACAGGCCTGATGTGACGTCCTGTGAAACCTGCACCAGGTCCAGAGCAAAGTGATCTCAGAGCAGTGAGCCGAGTGATGCAGCCCCACCACTCACTGCCACCTTTCCAAGCCCAAGACAACTCCTCTGACCACCAACCTGACAGGATCTCTCTTCATCTCTGTTTAAAGACATTTGTTGCTCAAGATTTTTATGAAGAAGTTCTCCCTCTTTCCTCAGCTCTCGTGTCCTTTGCTCTACAGTTTCCTTGGCCATTTGTAGCTTCGCATGGTCTTGCTCCAGAGCCCTACAAAGTTCCTGTGAGAGGTACCATCAGACAGTGAGACCCTGCAGACATTGCGCCACCCCACTGGCTGTCCAGCCCCAGCACACGCTGCTTATTTGGGAAGGAGGCGGGCTGCTCCCTGTGCGGAGCCCCAGACCCCAGTACAGGCTCTCTTAACCGTGGGATACCCCATCTCCACCACTCCTAGCTCGTAGTCCAAGAAAAAATAAGAAACTCGCAGTCCAAGAAAAAATAAGAAACTCAAGCTCACAGCCTAGGCCGGCCGGGGCGGGCCCCGGGACAGTTTGGATCCGACCCGATCCGCCTCTCACGGACACAGCAGGACGCACCTTGCAATGCTCGATCTCCCGCCGGACTTGCTCGGGGGTCACCTCCGGGAAGCCGTCCTCCAGGCCCTCGGCGGGGGGCAGCTGGATGAAGGAGTCCTTCAGGCAGGAGGAGTCCTCAGCCACGCTGCGCCGGGCCCCGCGCCGCCCCCC